CCAGAGTAGCTTGACGTGTTCATTTTCTGTAACTTTATCAGGTTTGTGATTTCACCAGTTCTTTGTCACAGGCAGTTAGTATTTATGGCACAACTTCTTCTTCTTCTTCTTAATATTATTGAGGAAGTGTGGCTTTCTGTCGGGGGTGCTTTGATTGTGTTTTTTCCTGTCTGGCAGAAGGAGGTTGGACTAGATGGCCCAAGTGGTCTCTTCCAAGATTGAGGTGGTCCTTGGGGCTGAATGGGGACCCCAAAGTCAAGGGATGGTTTGGAGTGCCGTCTACTGAACCTCAGCATCTGCTGCCTGGGTCCACCTTCCTCTGATGGGCACCTACCTGATCTTCCTTGGGATGGAGCCAATGCAGGAATGCCTCCGGAAGGGGCACCGGGCACCAAGCAGCATCCTCTCCTGACCCACAAGGGAACAGCATGACGCTCCCAATCACCCCCTAACTCCCTCCTTCTTCGTCTTACTCAGGACCCGAACAATGGGTTCAGAATTCACGTCAGAGTCCGGACGGGTGGCATAAGAGGCCCATTGTCTCTGCTCCAAACTGGGGAAGGGGATGGAGTGGGCTTCAGGCAACTTTGCCGAGAGCCTTCCCGGATGAGGATGGACTGTTTGCATTTGGGTGGAGACACCAAGGACTGGAGGGATCCCCCCCAAGGAAAACATACACCCTTAAAATCCCACTCATTGTTGTTCGGCTTCTGGGTCATTTCCCCTCATGACACCAGAGTGGAACAAAGCTTCAATTGTGGGGCTGACGTCTTCCGGAAGAAGGGTTCTCCCTGCCGAATAGGGCAGGGGCAAAACAAGCACAGAAAGGCCAGGCCTAGAACCAAAGCATGGGCACCGGTCTCTTCTGTGAGCAGCAGGTTCCCAAAAGAGGTTTCCTCCGATCCAATCATGTATCCGTTTACTTCTTTAAGCCACCCTCTTGCTCCCAGCTGCTGAGTTTATAGGTTTTTTCCCCCACTTAGAACTCAGTGTCGAGCAGGCATGGGCAAACTTCAGCCCTCCAAGGTCAGAGAAGCAGATGACAAAGACAAAAGAATGGCCTTTCTTGGGGAGCGTGGTTGCTCTATCAATGTTTAACATTTACACAATTGATCGGCCACTGCCAGAAGGAATAGAGAGTTTCATCTATGCTGACGATCGTGCCATCACTGCTCAAGAATGGAGCTTTGGAAATGGTTGAACCAAAGCTTTCCAAACCTTTAGGTGCTCTCACTGCCTATGACAGGGTAAGCCAGCTGATTCCTAGAATCAGATCCTCTGCAGAGGCCAGTAGCCACAGATGCAGGCAGAACGTCAGGAGGAGTGAATGCTGCTAGAACACATTGGCGATACAGCCCAGAAACCACACAACACACTAGTGGATTCGGCCGTGAAAAGTCTTCGACAATACATAATCAAAGAGACTTTACTGCCAGGATCAAAAGGAGTCCAGTGTCTAGATGGAGGGAAGTTATGGTGCCTCTCTCTTCTGCTTTGGTTAAACCAGTATTTCTCAACCTTCCCAATGCCGCAACCTCATAATAAAGTTCCTCATGTTGTGGTGACCCCCAACCTTAACATTATTTTCATTGCTACTTCATAACTGTAACTGTAATTGTATGGAGCCCCCGGTGGCACAGTGGGTTAAACTCCTGTGCTGGCAGGACTGAAGACCGACAGGTCGCAGGTTCAAATCCAGGGAGAGGTGGATGAGCTCCCTCTATCAGCTCCAGCTCCTCATGCGGGGACATGAGAGAAGCCTCCCACAAGGATGATAAAAACATCAAATCCCCTGGGCAACGTCCTTGCAGACGGCCAATTCTTTCATACCAGAAGTGACTTGCAGTTTCTCAAGTCGCTCCTGACACGACCAAACTATAATTTTGCTACTGTTATGAATCATCATGTAAATATCCGATATGCAGGATGGATTTTCATTCACTGGACCAAATTCGACACAAATACCCAATATGCCCACATTTGAATGCTGGTGAGGTTTGCAGGGTGGGATTAATTTTGTCATTTGAAGGTTGTAGTTGCTGGAATTTATAGTTCACCTACAATCAAAGAGCATTTTAAACTCCACCAGTAATGGCACTGAACCAAACTTGGCGCACAGAACTCCCATGACCAACAGAAAATACTGGATGGGTTTGGTGAGCATTGACCTTGAGTTTGGAAGTTGCAGTTCACCTATATCCAGAGAGCACTGTGGACTCAAACAATGATGGATCTGGACCAAACTTGGCACAAATATTCAATATTCCCCAATGTGAACACTGGTGGAGTTTTGGAGAAACAGACCTTGACATTTGGGAGTTGTAGTTGCTGGGGTTTATAGTTCACCTACAATCAAAGAGCATTCTGAACCCCACCAATGATAGAATTGGGCCAAACTTCCCACACAGAATCCCCATGACAATGATGGATCTGGACCAAACTTGGCACAAATATTCAATATTCCCAAATGTGAACACTGGTGGAGTTTTGGAGAAACAGACCTTGACATTTGGGAGTTGTAGTTGCTGGGATTTAAAGTTCACCTACAATCAAAGAGCATTCTGAACCCCACCAATGATAGAATTGGGCCAAACTTCCCACACAGAACCCCCATGACCAACAGAAAATACTGTGTTTTCTGATGGTCTTTGGTGACCCTTTTGAAACCCCCTTGCAACCCCCCAGAAGTCCCGACCCCCAGGTTGAGAAATACTGCTTTAGGTACTCTTATTGCATATTACAGGGAAAATCTGTTGATTCCTAATCCATCTAAGAAACAATTGGAAAAGTGGGACAACGGAAGAGCAATTGGGACTGTTCCCAGCCAAATCAGGACACGCAAAATATAGACCCAGGAATCATGCATCCCTTTGGAAGTAGATGCAGCTCCCATCAGTCTAAGGTTAAGGGTGCAACCATACAAACAGATATGATTGGGCTTCGATGTAAATGGGGGATGAAAAATATTCTGTCCCACACTGTTTGCTTTAATAGTTCCTGACCTCATGGATTGGAGGCTGGGGAGCATTGTTTGGAATTTGTCTCACTCCTATAAATAGATGCTGACCCGACTGGCAGGGGGGCAGGTCAGAGAAGGGAGCAAAAGTAAGTGCAAATGTTCAAAATAATAATACTCTAGCGATACACGTAATAAAAGAGAAAATATGCATGTGTGTGGCTGGAGTGTCCACTTCCACAGGCTCCCACTTCCACAAACAGCTATAACTTCCACCGCTCAAGAAACAACAATGGCCCTCCCTCCAATGACATCACCGGAAACATGTTCAAGAGCCCTGCCAATTTCCTCCAGAAACACCATAATGTCCACCACCACCAAGTGAAGGCTTTTATATGGGGACCATTTTATGTGTTTCCTCCACCACAGACATCCCAGTGTTTCTTACTCTCACCATTGGTGTGGAAATTACATGACCCCGCCTACTACATCTCCCTTAACCCTTTCCTATTCTTTTCTATGGCACACAGCAAACAGAGGATTTAATCAGCGACTGAACATACAAGAGAGGTTTGGGGAGAATTCACCATGATTTATAGGAATTGTAGGTACTGGGATGTATAGTTCATCTGCAATCAATGAGTACTCTAAATTCGACCAAAGATGGAATTGGACCAAACTTGGCACACAGAGCCCCCAGGATCAGCAAAAAATCCTGGAGGTCTTTGGAGGAAAATCACCTTGAATTAGGGGAGTTGTAGTTCACCTACATCCAGAGTGCACTGTGAACCCAAACACCGATGGATCTGGACCAAACTTGGCACACAGACCCAATATGCTGTAATTTGATTCTTGGAGGGGTTTAGGGGGAACTGACCTTTCTTCCTGGGAATTGTAGTTCACCCACAAGCAAAGAAACAGTGACCTCCAGCAATGATGGACCTGGACCAAATTTGGCACACAGAACCCCCATGACTAACTCAACCTACTTGAAGGGTTTAAGGGAACTGATTCATCAAATGGGAGTTGTAATTTACCCTACAGCCAGAGAGCACACTGAACCCCACCGCTGATGCATCTAGAGCAGAGGTTCTCAACCTTCCTAATGCCGCAACCCCTTAATATAGTTCCTCATGTTGTGGTGACCCCCAACCATAACCCTAACATTATGAATCGCCATATAAATAATGATCTGCAGGATGTATTTTCATTCACTGGAGCAAATTTGGCACAAATACCCGGTATGCCCAAATTTGAATACTGGTGGAGTTGGCGGGGGGATTGATTTTGCCATTTGGGAGTTGTAGTTGCTGGGATTTATAGTTAACCTGTAAACAAAGAGCATTCTGAACCCCACCAACAATGGAACTGAACCAAAGTTGGCACACAGAACTCCCATGACCAACAGAAAATACTGGAAGGGTTTGGTGGGCATTTACCTTGAGTTTGGGAGTTGAAGTTCACCTATATCCAGAGAGCACTCTAGACTCCAACAATGATGGATCTGGACCAAACTTGGAACGGATACTCCATATGCCCAAATGTGAACACTGGTGGGGTTTTGGGAAAATAGACCTTGAGATTTGGGAGTTGTACTTGCTGGGATTTATAGTTCACCTACAATCAAGGAGCGTTCTGATCCCCAACAATGATAGAATTGGGCCAAACTTCCCACACAGAGACCCCCATGACCAACAGAAAATACTGTGTTTTCTGATGGTCTTTGGCGACCCCTCTGACACCCCTTCACGACCCCTCCAGGGGTCCCGACCCCCAGGTTGAGAAACACTGATCTAGAGCAAAGTTGTCCAACATAACAAACTAAGTACTGAAGGAGTTTCTCGGGGTTAACCTGGCATGATGTGAGTTGTAGCTCATCCACAACCTTAAGCATTTTGTACAATTAAAACACTGACTTTTTCAAATAACATGGGCAATGCCAAGTACTGAAGTTAGTACAATATTAACTCAATACACAATATATATCTAATCTGAGAGATATGACAAAATACTCCCCATAGTCCCCCTCAATGGCATCTCTTACCAAAGCGTGTGGGCCACGGTGAACCTCCGCTTGCTCCGGATGTTGGGATTTATCTGCATTTTCCTAAAGGGGTGAAGGGTTCAAGGAGGAAGGAGACAGAGGAAGCATGGCCAGGCTCCCCAAATGTGAAGGTCAGTGACGATGGGCAGAGTGGCGGTCAGAGGTCTGGCCATGGCCACAGCCGCACAGGCCTTGTCCTACGGGAGGACTGCACAAAAGTCTCTCTTTGCTGATATTCCAGGATGACCGCAGTCCCAACAGGGTCTGTTTGGGGTTTGGAGTCCCGGCCCTGAGCAAGAGACGTGCCGAGCAACATGACGTCCCAGCTGCTGCTGCTCCCAAGACGTTCCTGCCGCTGGGTCCAGCCCAGTTGGGAAACTAAACAAATGGCCTGGCTCCAACCCAACAGAGAGCCATCACACGGGCCAACTTTCCCTCACCGGCTGTGGTGGAGAAAAGCAGGACTAGAGTCATAGGATCATAGAGGTGGAAGAGACCACATGGGCCATTTAGTCCAACCCCCTGCATGCAGGAAAAGCACAATTAAAGTATCCCTGACAGATGGCCATCCAGCCTCCATTTAAAAGCTTCCAAGGAAGGAGCTTCCACCACAATCTGAGGCAGAGAGTTCCACTACTGAACAGCTCATACAGTGACAAAGTTCTTACTCGTTTTCAGATGGAATCTCATTTCCTGTCATTTGAATGAATAAAGATGTTGAACGGAACTGGGGAAGACCCCCTTCATTCCAAGACACAAATGTTGTGGCGTAATGTAAAATAAACCATGTGTATTTCACATTTGATCAGCCCACGTACTGCCTTGCCAGAGAAAGAAAATATGCCATGCAGATGAACAATGAAGAACAAGTAGTTTACTCTTTGTAAATTAGAACAACAAATTTAGAATCATGTGATCAGTTACATCGACTCCTTTTATGAGAGATTTAATATAGTCTTTCTTTGTCCATGTGGATAAACTCCTTCAGCAGTTCATGAAGCAAGAGCACACTCCAAATTCTGTCTCTCTCTGCTTCCCGCTTCATCTCTCTGTGCATCCGCATAGCTCAAGCCTGAACAAAATGTAACTGCAATCAAAAGTCCCAGGCTCAGCCTGCTCCCCGGGCATTGCCCGACCAATCAGCTTCATGCATCTTATTTTGCAGTTGAAACACACGAACTCATAATAAATTCACACACACATCATAATAAATTGTGGCAAGTTCTTAGTGGTATGGGGATACCAAATCACCTTATCTGTCTCCTGAGGAATCTGTATAACAACCAAGTAACAACAGTAAGAACTGACCATGGAAGATCAGACTGGTTCAAGATTGGGAAAAGCATACGGCGTACTCTCACTCAACCTATTCAACTTGTATGCAGAACACATCATGCACTGTGTGGGGCTTGACGAATCCAAGGCTGGAGTTAAAATTGCTGGAAGAAACATTAACAACCTTAGATATGCAGATGATACCACTTTGATGGCCGAAAGTGAGGAGGAGCTAAGGAGCCTTCTAACAAGGTGAAAGAAGAAAGTGCAAAAGCTGGGTTGCAGTTAAACACTTAAAAAATCCAAGATCATGGCAACACAACTGATTGATAACTGGCAAACAGAGGGAGAAAAAATGGAGGCAGTGACAGACTTTGTATTTCTAAGTGCAAAGATTATTGCAGATGCAGACTGTGGCCAGGAAATCAGAAGATGTTTACTTTTTGGGAGGAGAGCAATGACCAATCTTGATAAAATAGTGAAGAGTAGAGACGTCACACCGGCAACAAAGATCTGCATAATCAAAGCCATGGTATTCCCCATAGTCACCTATGGATGCAGGGGCGGCTCGTCCATTATGCGAAGTAAGCGGTCGCAGAACGCTTTTTTTTGCCAGGGGTGCAGAGGCGCCTCTGTAAATGCCCCTCGACCGCCACTTCTCCCAATGGCTGAGGAGAAAGTCGGGAGAAGAGGTGACTTTTGGTGCACACGCCAGGGTCTTCAGGCACGCCTCCGGACCCAAAGCGGGCCAGGCAAGGGAGCAAGTGCGGCAAGTGTAGTTACTGGGATGTATAGTTCACCTACAATCAAAGAGCATTCTGAACTCCACCAATGATGGAATTGAACCAAATATGGCACACAGAACTCCCACGACAAAGAGAAAATATATATCAGTGATTGGTTGGGGAGGGGGGGCAAAATGAAGATATGCAATGGTATTCCGCGAAGTAACGTATTGATGTGAGAGGTGGACCATAAAGAAGGCTGAGGGAAGGAAGAGAGACACTTTTGAACGTGGTGTTGGAGGAAAATTCTGAGAGTGCCTTGGATCACAAGAAGATCCCAATCAGTCCATACTTCAGGAAATAAAGCCCGACTGCTCATTGGAGGGAAGGAAAGATGACGTACTTTGGCCACATCATGAGAAGACAGGAAAGCTTAGAGAAGACAATGATGCTGGGGAAAATGGAAGGAAAAAGGAAGAGGCCGACCAAGGGCAAGATGGATGGATAGATCCTTGAAGTGACTGGCTTGACTTTGAAGGAGCTGGGGGTGGTGACGGCCGACAGGGAGCTCTGGCATGGGCTGGTCCATAAGGTCATGAAGAGTCGGAAGTGACTGAACGAATAAACAACACCACCACACACACACACTCACTGATTCCTTGCATGCTCCAACAAACGTCTCTTCCAAAGGCATGCTCAACAGGGGCAGAGGCGACCCTAGGTAATTTTCAACGGTAAGCAAACAGTATTTTATATATTTATTAGGCTTGGGTAACCACGGAAAAATTTGGTTCTAAACTCGTTTTGTTTTTAGGGGGCCCTTGCGTTTCGTTTTTTTTAATAATTCCGAAATTTTCCTTTTAAAAAATTTCGAAATATACGAAATTTCGTATAATTACGAATCGATTCGTTAATGGCGGACGCGACTGCGCAATATGCTAAAAAAACCTCCAAATGGGACAGGAGGAACTTCTGAAGCTTCCCTCTCCCTCTGTTGTTGACTGTTGGTGTGATAAAACAAACAACAACTATAAAACTTGCACCAGACATGCGAAAATAATTACGAAATAATTACGAAACAATTACGAAATAATGACGAAATAAATTGGAAAAATTGTTTCGAATCTTAATTACTCCTCACACTATTCCTGCATGGCTCAATATTGGATCGTAAGCTAATTTAAATACGAATTAATAACGAATTACGAAATTAACGAACGAAACCGCCCAAGCCTAATATTTATATATTTTCGGTTCGTCATGGGAGTTCTGTGTGCCATATTTGGTTCAATTCCATCATTGGTGGAGTTCAGAATGCTCTTTGATTGTAGGTGAACTATACATCCCAGTAACTACAACTCGCATATGTCAAGGTCTATTTTCCCCCAAGAGCACCTCAAGAGTGCCCCTGGGCAAAATCAACTATACTGCGAATGCTTACTTTGCGTAATGGGTTGAGCCGTCCCTGAACAGGGGCGACCTACAACATTGATGGGTCGTAACCAAACGAAGTTGGAGCAAGTGAACTACAGGGATGAGTCCTCTAAAGCGGGACAGAGTCAAAGCCTGGCTTTGGCAGTCAGCAACTGTGGCCTTCGAAGCCCTTACGCAAATGTAAACACTCTCTTCTGACCTTTAGCTGATATCCAGGGATTATCTGCAAAGGCCTACCCGTTCCTCTTTGGGGACAAAGAGGGCAATGCTGCCACAGGCAAGGGAGGGGATCCAGGGAACAGCCTGTGTGTGTTTTATGTCATTTGATCCAGGCAATGGCCTTCTCATTCCCAGGCCCATCTGGTGCAGCAGGAAAAAAAACAGCTCTTTTTAGAAATGTAATTCATGGTTCTACTCACTGCAATGCCAAAGACCAGATAAGTGGTGTTCACTGGTTTCTGGGAAGCTATATGTGCTCTGGATTATAACAGAGATCTCTAAAAGTACCAGGAAGCATCCCTACATTCGATGGATGACTTCGTATTGCAGTTGCCCTATTACACCTTCAAGTCATTTCAGACTTTTGACATCCAACTAACCTATCATGAAGTTTGATCATTCAGATTTCTTCAGTCTTTCATCCAATCAAGGAAGCCAATCGCTGCCCTGAGTTGGCAGGAGAAACGTAGGACATAAATCCAAGAAATCAATAAATACCATTATTTTTCTTTCAAATCTTCTATTGGGGATGTATTCCATCCTGGGCAGGCATATTCAGCAGCTGAGTAGCAAAACGCAAGGGAAGATGTCTGGCCGGGGTGGTCCATGCCTTGGTCACCTCTAGATTGGACTACTGTAATGTGCTCTACGTGGGGCTGCCCTTGAAAACGGCTCGGAAATTCCAACTGGTCCAACGGGCGGCGGCCAGGATGTTAACTGGTGCTCCTTACAGAGAGAGGTCAACCCTCCTGTTCAAGGAGCTCCATTGGCTGCCATTCATTTTCCGGTCCCAATTCAAGGTGCAGGTGCTCACCTACAAAGCCCTAAATGGTTTGGGACCCGCCTACCTGCGTGACCGCATCTCCATATATGAACCCACACGATCCCTTCGATCATCTGGAGAGGCCCTGCTCACGATCCCACCTGCGTCGCAAGCGCGTTTGGTGGGGACGAGGGACAGGGCCTTCTCTGTGGTGGCCCCCCGACTCTGGAACTCTCTCCCCAAGGACATTAGACAAGCCCCAACGTTGGCAGTCTTTAGGAAGAGCCTGAAGACTTGGCTGTTCCAGTGTGCATTTCCAGAATAGGAAACTCCTAGAACCATGTCCCAAATGCACTTAGTTAGAGTTTTACGATTGTCTGCACATTGCACCTACCTCCAAAACCTCTCCATTTCACCTGTCATGTCCAGCCAAATTGACAAAGAAAAAACATGGTTGTGGCTCACAAATGGAACTCTGAAAAAGGAGACGAAGGGCCTGATTCTGGCAGCCCAAGAACAAGCCATTCGAACCAATGCCATCAAAGCCAGAATTGAAAAGTCGACAACAGATCCCAAATGTAGACTCTGCAAGGAAGGAGATGAAACAATAGATCACATCCTCAGCTGCTGCAAGAAGATCGCGCAGACAGACTACAAGCAGAGGCATAACACCATTGCTCAGATGATTCATTGGAACTTGTGCCACAAATACCATCTGCCTGCAACAAAGAACTGGTGAGATCACAAGCCGGAAAAAAGTTACGATTGTGCCATCACCACTCAAGCAGAGAGCTTTGAAATGCTGGAACAGAAGCTCTCCAAAGCTTTAGGTGCTCTTTCTTCCTATTACAGCAAGAACCAGCTGATTCCTAATCCATCTAAAATGCAGACATGTGCTTTTCATCTTAAGAACAGACAGGCATCTCGAGTTC